CTTATATCTCCATTAGATCCTTGGAGGCTTTTTGCTTTTGGACTGAAATTGAAATGCCATTTTGGTTAATTTCTATTTTGATGTAAATTTATAATTTATATATTGTATTTTTATACATAACGTTTTAGGTACTCCACATAGATTATAATTAGAGTCCTGATTCTATATTGTGCTGGTTGATTGTTGTTGAGGAGCGGAGCTCCCTTTTGCTAAGTTGATGTTGTAAATTGTGATAAAAAAAAATTTCGAGAGGTTCTATGTTTTTTTTAGGAGAATCTGTCAAAATTTTTACAAAAAAGTCTAAGAATCTTTTATCTAAAAAAAAATGTTGCAAAGATTTTCTATCCTATTTTAAATGAATTAAAATATTATATTAAAGTTTCTTTAATCAAGGATTAAGGGATGTATGTTTGTGCATGTATCTCGTGCCGATCACATCTAATTTTTCAGGGTGTGACAAAATACATACCAAAAATAAGGAAAAAGGGAATTAAGTTTGGAAGATGGAATTGTCGTGACCATCTTTGTGCTTTCTTGAGATTTCATTAACCATTTGTGACTCTTTGATCATTAAATAGCTCATCCAAAGGCTCCAATTTCATGTAAAGGGCTGCCATCATCATCCAAGAGCTTCTCATAGCCTAAAACACACAATGAACTCATTAAATAGCAAGTTGTGCACAAATAATTTCATGTGTCTTATGAATTTATCCAACTTAGGTGTAAATTATGAAAATATATTGAAGTGAATTAAAGTGATTAAATGAAAGATTTGGAGATGAATTTAGTTATGAGAAGTTTTCTAGGATTTCTTGATTACAAAAACTAAACCTATTACACTTCAAAAGTTCATGGAAAATACAATGAAATACAAAAAGTGTGTAATTTAAATGATGTTTTTATGAATAACTTACAATCTAAATTGAATTAACTCAAATTAAACTCATAGAATTAATGAAGAACTAAAAATTAGCAAATGATTATTTTTTCTATTTTTCTGCATTATTTCCAAAAAATATAGTTTGCCCCTAAAGTTTTAGAAATTTGCACTTTTGCGCCAAAAGTTGTGAAAAATACAAAAGTGGCCTAAATGATCTAAAATGCTTTCAATATGCACAAAATACCCCTAAAAAGTGTCAAAATTTTGGGAAAATTATATAAAAATGATATGATTAAATGGTAGTTATCAGCAGGTATTGAGAGTTTCTCTTGTCTCAGCTTATACAACCTTGGAGCACTTCCCTTGCTGAATCTTTCTTCAAGGTCACTTCAAATTTCATGTGCCGTCTTTGTGTATCTTACGTTGCTTTTGATGTCTTTTCTCATGGCTGTTTTCAACCATCTTTTCACCATTGCATTGTATCGCATCCAGTGTGCAAGGTTAGGCGAGTTTGCCCTCAGCATCTCTATCGAGCTCCATGAACCCAAACTTATTCTTAGCGAACAAAGTGTTACCCATGTCACTGACCCATTCACCATAATTGCCATCATGCAGTACTTCCCCAACATAGAGTTGTCCAGGATTATTCGAAGGATGCAAGTAGTATGGAGACATTGCATCAATGGTGCAGTTTCACGTATTCTTCTATTCATCTTCGACTGATCCTAGCATCGTTGTGATTGAGGAGCCCTTGGTCAGAACCTGTTGCTTTGATACCATGAGAAATAATATGTAGCAAAAGCGATCTTATTCATTACCTTGAAAGTGGGATACAACGCGTACATATATGCAAGTTATTTACATGAGAGAGAAACCCAAACACAAAGCCTACGTGGGGACCTCGTATCTTAATAGTATTACAAAACTCAAACAAATACTCATATCTACTCATATATTATAATTAACCATATCAATCTAATAGTTCTAGTCATTGTTAGAAGAAAAGTAATCATTGCTTAAACTGAAGTAGTTATGGATATTTACAACACTTCGACTTCAATGAATAAAAAATTTCCATAAGGGAAAGTTTTTGTTTCGTTCTAGTTATTGTTAGAAAAAAAAATAATTATTGCTTAAACTAAAGTCATCACGGATAATTACATTTGGATTTTTGTGAATCAAAAATTTGTACATAAAAAGTTGTAATTGCTTGTATTATTCTAATCATTTTCAGAAGAAAAGTACTTAGTTCTCATCCTAAAGTAATTATTAATACTTACCTTTTTTTTGGGAGCCAAAGTTGTTACTTCTTTTTATTTTAAATTCAGGGTATTTTTGTTATTTCATGAGAAAATAATTAATGTTAAAAATGTCCCTAGGGATTTGAGAAGAATTATGATATTTTGGGAGATTTGATTACCATTTTCATATTTAGAGGGATTTTTCTATCATATTCTCAAAATTTTAACTCATTGTTCAAAAAATTTATAATTATCATTAAATTAATGTTTTGAAACCTAACTATTAACATCCCTACAACAACGTATACAATCGAAGCAAATCCCCCAGAGTATAATTGGAAAGCGGAATATAGTAGTCGCAATGCCTATAACTATTCTTTGGATAGTGATTCAATTAAAATGACTGTACTGCCATTTAATTTTTTTCTTATATTTTAAATTTGTAATATATTGTATTATCTTATTGAAGATCATTTTAAAAATATAAAAAATTTGTAAATTTGTTTTGGTGAATTAATTTTTTTATCAAAGGATAAAACAAGCTAATTAGAAGAGGTCTCATTCATTAGAAAGAAATAAACGGGCTTTACTAATTGTTTTCTAATTACAGAGGTATAAACCAAAACACGCTAACTTCCTTGTTAATTAGAGATGATACAAAAATTCTTTGCTAAATTTAACTCAAGCTAAGTCATAGTTCCACACTAATTTAATTCCCATGCTAATTCACGCTATTAGGAAGGAAAGAATGATCCCTCGTTAAATTTTACTGCGAAATCATATTTTTCTAGTAGTTGATGGATTGATATTTTTGTAAAGCTAATATAATTTTTTTAATTTTTGGATACCTTTATAAAAACTTAAATATATGGACTCCTACATATCATTGATCAAAAAATCTATAACATCCATGTAATACAACAATTATTATAACTGATCAAAAATAAAAACTAAGAAGTTTTACAAATTCACAGCTCATACTATGTATGTTTAGAAAAATATATTATCACCATTTCTCACAAGGAATTACATCCAACATTTTCTAATAAGATAGTCAAAAGAAATGAAGGATGAACAACAACACTAATTGCATATAGAGTTAGTATTTATTTAAATTTGACTTCTTTGCATAGTACAAATCCTTGATCTTGTTCAATGATGCTACAATATCTGACATATTGCAACGTTCTGTTGGAAAATCGGAGCAGCAATTCAAGGCCAACTCAAAAACAGCAGATGTAGTTGTCAAAATGCTACCAACATGTTGTTCATTGGCTTGTAGTAAACTGGAATCCATGACTTGAATCAATGCATCGGGCATTGATTTACTTATCCAAGTCTTCAAGCTTAATCCATTGATGAACATATCTTCTGTTGGTTTTTTCCTTGTGAACACTTCCATTAGTATTATTCCATAGCTATACACATCTGCTTTTGTTGAAACAATTCCTGCAAATCCGTATTCTGCATATAATTTAATTCAACCAAGTCAAATATCAAGTATCTTATATATGACATAGCAAGTAAAATAAGAACTAATTAATAGCACAAATTCCTATACATTTCTTGTCGTATTCTTTAGACTTTCTTGTATATATATATATATATATAATAGATTTAAAATAACAGTCAAATTTATTCCCTTAAATGTTTGGTTTTTAGATCACATAAAAACTTTCAGAAAACATTCTCATCAAATACAATATATGGGATATATTTTTGAAAGAAATATATATCTCAAATTATTATATACACTATATTAAAATCACGTACTACAGTGTTGAACGTGCACCCACATGCATGGTTTTTTTTTTTTTTTTTTTTTGGGCAGAATACAACCACATACATTAGCACGCCATCTTATTCATGTTTACAAGTAAATTAAATAATTCAACATAAGTATGCTAAATTAGTTAAATAAGTTCTTTTCTTAATATAAAAACCTCCCTCATATTATAAGGAAATACCCAATAAAAATTTTATATAAGCATTAGGTGAATTAGATTCAAGTGCAATTGTTCTACACTGATTATTTTAATAACGTGCTGTAGTTCGTCAATCGAACTACTCATGTACAAAAATATAATGTGTTGTAACAAGTGCATCATTTCTCATAAATAATAACTAATTTATTATTATCTAATTTCATTCGATATTGTTAGTCTGAGAAAAAAGAGTGACTATATATATAAGATTTAATCTAATGTACAAAAATATAATGTGTTGTAACAAGTGCATCATTTCTCATAAATAATAACTAATTTATTATTATCTAATTTCATTCGATATTGTTAATCTGAGAAAAAAGAGTGACTATATATATATATAAGATTTAATCTAAAGGGATTTTTGTAAAAGAAATAATAAACTGAAAAAATTCAAGCTAATCTTTGTCAACATCGATGTGTATGCAAATTGGAATATAAATGTAAGTAAGAAGAATCAAGATTCAGGATGATTACCAGGTGCAATATAACCAATTGTAGATATTGTCTCCGTGTGTGTCTTGGATTTTCCCCTATCTAAAAATTTGGCAATTCCAAAGTCACTTACATGGGCAACCATATTATCATCTAATAAAATGTTACTTGGCTTCAAATCACAATGGACTATCGGTATTGACAAGTCTTGATGGAGATATTCTAATGCAAATGCTACATTTATCATTATATTCAACCTTTGTAGAAAATCCAAATGATAGTTATCAGAATATAACCATTTTTCAAGGCTTCCATTAGGAATGAACTCCATTATCAAACACTTGAAGTCAACATTGGAACAGCTGCTAATGATCTTCACCAGATTGCGATGGCGTAAATTACGCACTACATCGCATTCTACCTCAAAGCTCCTTGACAATGCTTCAGAGTCAAAATTGAATATTTTAACTGCAACTATCATTCCACTTGAAAGCTTTCCTTTGAACACAGAACCAAAACTCCCCCTTCCAAGTAAGTTAGTCTCATCAAATCTTTGAGTTGCATCCAAAATTTCAAAATAAGAAATCCTTCTTGGCATTCCTAAGGAAGATAAAACTTTTATAATTGTTTGTCTAGAATTTATTCGTTTTTGTTGAAGGAGGATAATGCCTATAAGAATCAAAGTTATTGACAAAACCACGGGCAATACACATTTCAACAAAATCATATTTGCCATCGACCTTTTTCTTGCTCCGTTTCTACATGGAGGCACTTGCATTTGTGGCTCACCACAAAGTGCTTTATTCATCATGAAAGATTCAATCGTTAAATTTTTGAAGACTCTGCCACTTGGAATCTCACCTTGTAGGTCATTATAAGAGAGATTGACATACTTAAGGGATATAAGTGATTCTAAAGATTTAGGAATCTCACCGATTTTGGGAAAGGTCTAACTTTACTAAGCTTAACAAATTCCCAAGTGATTCAGGAATCTTCCCTTGCAACTTGTTATTGGCCAATGAGAGAATTTGCAAATTTTGCAAGCCACCTATCACTGATGGAATGATGCCTGATATATGATTTCTTGATAAATCTAATGATATAAGTTCTTTTATGTTACAAATCTTGAATGATAGATTTCCAACTAAAATATTGGAAGATAGATTTACTTCCAATATACTAGTTAAATTCCAAAAGGAAGAAGGTATCTTAGAAATCAACTTATTGGAGTCCAAGTAAAGATTTTGCAAGGACATAAGATTTCCTAAGCAAGGTGGCATTGCTCCAGATAATTTGTTTCGAGATAAATCAAGATAGGAAAGTCTTCTAATTTCACAAAGCTCATCAACAATCAAGCCATCTAACTCATTGCCTTCAAGATTCAAATTCTGAAGAGCTTGTAAGTTGCTAATTTCTGTTGGCATTGATCCATTTAAAAAATTTTCAGCCAAAGACAACTCAAACAAGTTAGATAGATTCCCAATTTCTAATGGTATGTTACCATCAACCCCACAAGAGTCAATATTTAGCACCTGTAGAGAATCAGACAAGTTTCCAATTGACTTGGGAAGTTTCATATGCAATGGATTCCTTGGGAGAATCAAACTTTTCAAATGTCTACAATTTGACAATGAGTTGAAAAAGCTAGTTTCAGAATCAGAAGCATCTATAGTGGCGAAATTGTTATCATATATCCAAAGGGTTTCTAAGTATCTTAAATGTCCAAGTGTGTTTGGTAAAACCCCTTCAAAATTATTGTTTTGCAACTGCAAAATGGTTAGCTTAGAAGCATTGCATATAGTATTTGGGATTTTTCCAGAAAGTTTGTTGCCCCATAAATAAAGCATTTGTAGATTGGAAAGGCCAAGTCCAAAATTTGATGGAAAACTTCCTGTTAGAGAATTGTTTGAGAGAGATAGAACTTCCAAAGTTGACATGTTGAAAATTTTTGATGGAATAGACCCTGTTAACTTGTTTTGAGACAATTGTAATATCTCAAGTTGTTGAAGATTACCTATTTCCATAGATATTGATCCTAGAATACATATATTAACTAAAGTATTAACAAAAGTTAATGTAAAATATAAAGAACATTATAAAATATCAAACTATTTAGATTTACCAACTACTAAAAAAACATAAATTTGTGATGGATTTGCAATGAAATTAGAGACAGATTTGTGATGGATTTTGGGCCTTTGCAACAACTTAGTACGGGTCTATAGAAGTATGTATGGAAAAACATTTCTTGGGAGACAACAAGTTAAATAGCACTCAGATTCCTTGAGAGATTAATTTTATGGCTGCCAGCTGTGAGGATAGTTTGGGCGACCAAAAAATTTATTTCATATTTTTTTATATAATTCCGCTGCATTTATTTAGAAACACTCCTATAGTCTAGATGCCGCTTATGGTTGCTTTTTTTTTTTCCCCCTCAAAAACGCTCCTATAGGTGTAACTAAATAAATGCTCTTGTAGTAACATTCTTAGCAGTGGATAATGCGTTTTTAGGTTGGTGACCTAAGCTTAAAAAATTATTTTCAGTGCATACTATTAAAAACCTAAATAATATGTTAAATTGTGGTTTTAAAAATTGGAACGATCAACTAATTGGATTGGTGGTCTAGTCTAGCATAAACCATTAAATTATATGTGTAGTGAACTAGTTAAAAACGAGTCAACAAATTCGTCGGGGTGTAGGAAAAACAGGTTGGTTGGTCCATCGATCAATTCAAGCATTAGATCTTAAAGAAAACAAACAGATGAAAGAGGTAATGATTGAAGATGAAAATTAGGGGCATGAGAATGATTCAAAGAAAAAAATTAGTACTCCAAAGTACCTTACAAGGACTCTAACTATAATAAGGTCTCATGAAATGGACAAGATACCCCCAAGTCCCAAATCTTTTATTTTAAATATACTTTATATTTAATTACTAAAACACCCTTACTTTTTTTTTATTAAAAAACTATTCACTGCAAGCCACTGGAGCCCACTACTGACCACCAGAGCTCCAATGCCACCAAATGAATTATTGATCATGAGCTGGTCATGGGAGGATTTGAGGACACGACCTCTTGGATCCAAAAAGCTTATGGCACCACTAGATTGTTGAACACGTTTGAGATATATATATATATAAAGAACTTAATGTCAATTACAAAACATTACTAGTTAATGACCTTTGCCCTGTTGTCATTTCCCTTTGCATTGTTGTGGTATTAGCAATGAGATAGAGAGCAATGACAACAAGGCAAGGAGTATTGGCCACTGAAATAATTGGTGTACTATAACTTGTGCATTTTATTATGAGCTAATTACACTTCAAATTATTTAAGCTATCAATGAACTTTGCCCTGTTGTTATTTTTCCCTTGCTATGTTGTCATTGTCCCCTGCCTTATTGTAAATAACTGTGCAATATTGACAATGAGCAAAGGGCAATGACAACAGGGCAAGGAGCAATGACAATAGGGCAAATTAAGGACATTGACAATTAAAATAATTGGTGTGATATAACTTATGCATTTTATCATGAACTTATTACACTTGAAATTATTTCAGTAATCAATATGCCCTATACCCAGTTTTCATTTCTCCTTGCCCTATTGTCATTGCCCTTTGCCTTGTTGTAAGTAACTAGTGTGATATTGACAACGAGGTAGAGGGCAATGACAACAAGGCAAGGGAAAATGACAATAGGAAAATTGACATTGACTACTAATGTTTTATAATTGACATTAAGTTCTTTATATATATATATATATATATATACATAATATTTTGCGTGCGCACATGCATACATATATCAAATGGGTTCAAAGTTCAATGGTCTAGTTGTGCCATAACATCTTGGGATCCAAGGGGTAATTGTATTCTCAGATCCTGCCATGGCCAACTCATTACTATTAATTTGCTTGCGGTGCTGGGGTTTCAATCCTCGATGGTCGGTCGGAGCTTCAATGGCTAGTGCTGAATAGTGTTTTAAGAAAAAATATATTTAAAATAAAAGATTTGTGACTTGGGGGTATTTTGTCCATTTTATGGGACTTTATTGTAGTTTGAGTTCCTATGAGGGACTTTGGAGTGATATCCCTAAAAGAATCAAGAGAAGTCATTTTATAGTAAGCCACCATCCTAAATATGTTTATTCGGTCATCATACCGCCGAATCTCTCATGAAATCACTAGATCGGATGAAAATCTTGTAGTGCAATTTCTAACTCAACGGCAAAGAGAAGAGGAGTGAAGAAGATGAGGTATTGTTAATAAGAGTACAAATGCGATTAGTTTTTTCCCTTATTTGGGAAGAGACTAGAAAGGGAGGGAGATGAAAAATGGTAATTTATATTTTGGTCAATGCAATTCGGAAAAAAATAATTCAAAATCAAATTTATATTACTAAATGCTTTTTTTTTTTTGGAAGAATGGAGAGGGCAAAACCTAGTAACCTACTAAATAGGTTTTTATTTTTTAAAACAACTTAAAAGATAAAATTATATAAATAAGTTAAAACCTAAAAGTTTTCATTAACTTTAAATGAATATTTTTAATTCAATTGTTAGTATTTGAGGAAAAACCAAACCAATCGATTAACCAAAGCTGGGAATCTATTTAGTTTTTTTTTTCCTTAACAAATCAATTTGGTTAGGTTCAATTTAGGTATAGATCAAGTTTGAGTTTTGTCTAGATATTTTTCATAATCAATATATGCACATGCACGCATATTTACTAATAATTTTTAACTATTAATTAATATTTTCAATGAAAAAATCTCTTGAAAAAAAAAGATTTTTTAGTAATTAATTAGCATATTTAAACATTAAAAACTAATACGTTATCTTTAAAGTACTTGATTATAAAATTTTAAAATTATCATAAATAATTATAAACAACATTTAACTAGTTGCAACATATTTTTAACTAGTAATTTACATATAACTAAATTTGAGAAAGAGAAAAAAATTTAGAAAAATTTATTAAAATATATAAAATAGATATAAGGTTCATTCGACAAAAAAAGAAAAAGATATAATGTTCAATTTGATTTAAGTTTCAAGAGTCAAAAACTTGAACCAAACTAAATTAAACCAATCAATTTTGTCAAAAGAAAAGGTAAACCAAACTCATTTATAATCAGTTTTGAACATCTATGTGGGTCTGGTTCGGTTTTGTTTTATGTAATTGGTTTGGATCGAATTTCGAACACCATCAATTTTTAGTTTTATGATTATGGATTAATTTATTTTATAATTGTTTAATGTATATTATTTACAATATCCTCTAAGCTCTCTATTGGCTCTTACTAGTTTCACGATTTTCCATTTCTTCTTGAAAGTCGATTCGTGTCCATTTATCCTTTTCTTCATAAATATTGCTTAATCGACTGTTGATAGAATTTTAGTTTTAATTCTTGCTGGGTGCTGGGTGTTGGTTTCTGTGTCTAATTCTTATTATGTTTGATCATAGGATTGTGTGAGTTTTTAGGGGGGGGGGAATTCAGGTTAAAGGACTAACCCCAAACTACTTTTGGCCAGTCTCGGTGTACTTTGGACTTTTGTATAGTCAAGCTTATTTAAGGTAACTTGAATAAGTTCGGCCAGCTTGAAAAGGTCTATCAGAATTCCGAGGTCTAATGCTAATGCATGTATAAATGATCACATCACTACTACTAAAAAAGCCTTCTAAATTATAATTTGGTGGTAGTACATTATAATATGGTGAAACGTACCTTCTAAATTATTGCTATCAAGATACAATTGTTGAAGCATAGTCAAACTTTCAATGCCTCTTGGTATGGGGCCAGATAGCTGATTAACACTTAGGCTCATGATCTCCAGATTTGCGAGACTTATAATTTCATTGGAAATATTTCCTGCAAACAGGAAAAAAAAAAAAAGTGACAATGCATCATTGTAAGTAAAATGGGAAATACTTAAGTTTGTGGAACGCATTTCCATGTTATTTGAAGTTATTTTGTGTTTCAAAGTTAGTGACCTAAATAAAAATAAGATTATATATGTCTATAGCATTATTGTCTTATTGGCCTCATATATAGATTTATATATTCAAAAGCTGTGCAAACACTTAACTCATCAATAAAATTATGATATATATATATATATATATATCATAATTTTTGTTCTATGTTTTGAAAACAATTTAGTCTATAATAGCCTATTGAGTATTTATTTATTTTTATTTTGACTTGTTTTTCTTGTTAACAAGTTTAATAAGGGGTAGCCTTTTTTTTTTTAACTTTTCCTAAAAAACTATTTTTTTAAATAATACGAAGCTTGTTTAAATGAAAACAAAGGACAAATTATCTTAAATGGCTCTTATATTTTTCAAGTGATTAATCCCATGGTTGCCGAGTGTTAGGATAACTTGGGAAACCAAAAGGACAAATTTCCATTAATTATAGAGAGAATGAGAATTTGGTTCTAAAAGATTGAATTAATTACAGGTAGATTCCCAACAAAATTTTCTAAGAAAATAAATTATAAATATCAATTCAAATAATTACAAATAAAAATTTATGCTACAATCTAAGAATTACATTTCATAATTAAATACTTATTTGTGAATAAAACTCCTAGATTTGTAATTATCTATATCAATATTTTCAACTTATTTTCTGAAAAAAAAATCATGGAAGACTTAATGTAACATCCTAAATTTTAATAAATTTCTAAGTAAGGGTAAATTAATAAATTAGTTGATCAATTAACTTAATTATTTTCCAAGTTTTTAATTAACATTTTGGATCATAGATAGCTCTAAGATTGGGTTAGGGTGGAAGCTGGATCAAATTGGGTTGGAATTGGAGAGCAATGAGACTTTGCTTATTGTGTCACATTCTGCAACATGTACACCACATGCTGCGGCATATGGCACATTTCTGGCAACAACATAAAGATGTGAAATCAGCTTGAAAAATCAGATGTCGTTGGGGGAAAACCACAAAACTTAAAGGATGAAGATTGGACCTTTGCTAGGGCTTCAATTTGGGTGAATTTGGAAGCTAATTTAGACCTTCAAACTCTTGGGTAAGCTTCATACTCCTCTCTTCTACCACTACTAGAAAGACATGAATTAGTGAGTGAATTTAGCAAGAGATTGCTTGTTCCTCTCTAAAATGCCAAATGAGCAAGGAAATTAGTAAGGGATGTTGATTTTGTAGCTAAATTTAAAATTAGCAAAGAAAATAGCAAGGGACTATCAATCCTTTTCTAAAATAAGGTAATTAGCAAATAAAATAATGAGACTCTCAATCCCCTTCTAAAATAAGATGATTAGCAACGAAAATAGTGAGAGATTGTTATTTCTCTCTAAAATTAGATAATTAGCAAAAAACTCTATCCCTAGCTAATTACTACAAAAAAAATTAGAAATAAAATATAATATCTATGTTATAACATCCCAAAATTTTTAAGACTCAAATTTATTTTCAAATAAAATATTTATAATTAAATTAAAATTAAGAATAATTTGATAGAGGTTAAGAGTTTGTATTTCTCTGAGTAAAAGTTTAGTTTTATTTTATTTTTAATTATGAAAAAAATTATTGAAATTGACCGAAGCTTTGTGCTATAATAAAAAATATCGGGCCTTTCTTTGTAATCTTTCCCAAAGCATTATGATTAGTTTTGTAAAAGGAAATAGAACACGGAAATGAAAATGAAAACAAAAGCAAAGAAACAACGAACAAGAGAACGAGAGAGAAAGAGGAAGAAGAGATTAGAAAGAGAGAGAGCTAGAGCTTGGGTTTGAGAGGCCTTTAGATGATAAGCAAACTCCCTAATTCAATTCTCTTCATTCCCTCTTAGTTTTCTTGAGTTTTTGAAGGAAGTAAATTTTGAATTTTGATCCAAAAGGCTTTGTTCTTGTAAGCTTTGGTTTCTTTAGATCTTTGAGAGGTTATTTTAAGTTCTATATGGTGTTCTAATGTTTTGAGTGGGCAATTGGATGAAAAAGGGAGTTTTAAGGCAAAAATCAAACCCCAAGAGTTTGGGTTTTTCCTCTTCAATGATTTAAACCTATTGATTGAGTTATAATCATGCTATTTGAAGAAAATAAAATTTAAATTAATCTTTGATTTTCATTGTAAGGGCTAATTGTGACAGTTGGTAACACTAATTGGAGGCTTTTGGTTAATTAAAAATTGTATGGTTTAAAAATTGGCCTAGTGGTGGCTAATAAATGGTTTTGGTGGTTAATTGATACTATGTGAATGGTTGGTTTAATATATGAACCATTGGGATGGATTATAGTTCATTGACCTAAATTGTATGGTATGAGTTATATTCTTCTTTTATCACTACTATAAAATATACATCTTACATCCCTCAATTTGCATCACATTTTGTAAAAATGATATAAAAAATAGAGGCGGTGGTAATTTTATAAATAAGTATTAAATATATAAGACTATCAACATTACTTTTTTAAAAATGCGACGTGAAAAATATCCAAAAATTAATAATTTAAAATAATTTATTTTCTACAATCCACGTCGCTTTTTTTAAAAAAAGCAACATAGATAACTTATCATGTCACTTTTTTTTAAAAAAAAAAAGTGGCATGGATTGTAAAAAAAAATTATTTTAAATTATTAAATTTTGAAAAGCGACGTGGACACGTCGATTTTTTTAAAAAAAGTGACGTTAATTGTAAAAAATAAATTATTTTAAATTATTAAATTTTGAACATTTTTTACTTCACTTTTTTAAAAAAGGGATGTGGATAGATGTCACTTTTTTAAAACAAGAGACATGGATTATAAAAAATAAATTATTTAAAATTATTAATTTCTGGACATTTTTTACGTCGCTTTTTTTTAAAAAAGTGATATGGTAAGTTATCCACGTAGCTTTTTTTTTTAAAAAAAGGACATAGATTATAGAAAATAAATTATTTTAAATTATTAATTTATGGACAATATCCACATCATTTTTTTAAAAGTGACATGGATTTTAATCAGCTTTTGTAAATTAGATCGAGCTCCTCCCTCACTCCATCATTCTGTATTTTGAAACCTAACTCCTATCCCTCTTTCTCTTCAATGGTAGCACGTCTCTCTTCTCTTCACCACTGCAGATCTCTCCTTTCCTCCACACAACTCTTTCTTCTCCTTCCCACTGCATTGAAACCTACAGCATTGAGATCTATGGCTAACAGACTAAATAGAGACCTAAGGCTAGCATTTAACGGTGAGCATTCAACAGATAACTCTCTCTTCTTGTGTCCTCCTCTATCCCTCATTCGATGAACAGCTTCAAGACCCACGGCTTCTCCTCCTCTTTCCTTTAAGCGAGCAATATTTGGTTAGTGTCACTTTCACCTACAAACCTTTTTTCTTTTTAGATATTTCTAACATCTGCTTGAGCCTTCTCCAGTATCTTTGGTTGCTTCATCAATTTTAGTATGGTTTTATTTTTCTTTTATTTTAGTTTTAGGTCTGTGAAATGTATAGCTAACTGGAATGATGAAATGGGAATGACAAATATTTAAATTTAAATTATTTTAATATTTTTTTCAGGAGAAACCATGTTACTTTTTGTAAAAAAGGGATGTGGTTTCTCTGAGATCCACATCCCTCTTTGTAAAACAGGGATGTGATTTTTAGAGAAACCACGTCCTTTTTTTACAAAAAGTGACGTGGTTTTTCAAAAACTATGACCCTCATAAAAGTAACGTAGATAAACTAACTTTTTATGTCGCTTGAATCTATGTCCCTCACGATAGGGACGTGAAATGCCTTAAGAAAGCAACGTAAAAAGCTTTTTTTGTAGTAGTGTATGCTATTTTCCATGACAAGGGATGTGAATCACTTATATGTTGAGGGATTGTTGATGAAATTTTTTCGGAAGTTAAGGGACAAGTCAAATCTTATTTTTGTACAAGGAAAAATCCATTTAGTACGAAAGGATTGAAATAACAGGGGGATTTATATTTCTTATTGCTTTGTTTATCTATTTTTGAATAAATATTACTAACTATCATGCATTACATGTTTTAAATGATTAAATGTAATTAATTGTGTTTTATAAAAGCTTATGGGGTACTACTTGGATAACAGTGCATATATGTTTTCTATTTGTTTAACAACAATGTTTTTATAGAAATGAGGTTGTTTGCATGCATTGTAATTATAGAAATGGAAGTTGCACTTAAGGAAGTATAACTAGGCTAGGCACCTTAGATAGGTTGAGGAATCGCTTAAGGGAGGAGTGATATATGTTATACTACCTTAGAGTGTTAAAGTAGTCAATACTTAGGAAATGTAGACAAGATTGAAAGGTATGATCTTAGTTGGAGTTCACCAATGGGAAGGTGTGGACTTATGATATTTTATGGCACACTACTGGTACTCAATATTGCCTTTCGTATTGTGGACTCAGTATACTAAAGTGGTTAGTGGATTGAGTATTCGACACCTCTCAGTAGGGGAAAGAATCCAACATATGAAATGTGAGGTTGAGTTAGGCCAAGGTAGCCCTTATATGGAGAGTCAGTCGGGTTAGCTTTGGGAGGGAGTTAGCTTTGATTGCTCAGGATTCATACTGAAGGGACATAGGCAGTTCGGTGGATCAGATCATATCTTGAATTATATTTTGCACTTGTGGAGGTACAAGTGGGTATAAGATTTACCTACGAGCTAAAGAGTACCAAGGGGCATTTTGTCAGTCAGGAAAGGTCATATCGGCCTATGTCATGTATTTATGCATTGTAAATGACTAAATTATATGTCATATTTAATCTATTATTTATTTATTCGACTATGACTTACTTTGTAATAATAAATGTAGATTTTTCTATTACTGAAACTGTGGTTGTCTCACCCCTTTTTTAACAATATTTACAGATCTAGGA